CTTTTGTAAGGATAAAGAAAGGCAATTAGAAAGTCCAAGAAAAATAAAAAGCCATATAAGAAAGATATGATCTAAGTATGAAGCAAACTAAAATGTGCTATGATTTTAAGTCGTTGATAGAATGTAAGAAAAGAGAAACCACTTCACCTGGACACTAGGAACATTTTGTGTGTGTGTGTGTGTCTCAAACAGGGTCTTGCTCTATTGCCCAGGTTGGAGTGCAGTGGCACGATCTCAGCTCACTGCAACCTCTGCTTCCTGGGTTCAAGAGATTCTTGTACCTCTTGAGCAGCTGGGCATACAGGTCCTTTAAAGAGATCATTTTATAAGGATCAGTAAGAAAAAAAAAAAAAATAGGTCATTTAAAAAAATGTTCCTGGGTGGGCATGGTGGCTCACTCCCGTAATCCAGCACTTTGGGAGGCCAAAGCTGGTGGATCACTTGAAGTCAGGAGTTCGAGACCAGCCTAGCCAATGCGGTAAAAGGCGTCTCTACTAAAAATGCAAAAAATTAGCTAGGCATGGTAGTGCGCACCTGTAATACCAGCTACTTGGGAGGCTGAGGCAGGAGAATTGCTTGAACCTGACAGGCAGAGGTTGCAGTGAGCCGAGATCGCACCGCTGCACTCCAGCCTGGGTGATAGACCAAGACCCAAGACTCCATCTCAAAAATAAATAAATAAAGAGGTCTAAGACTGTAACTCTGTAACTATAGAGAAGAAATATCATCTACAGGCTGGGTGCGGTGGCTTACACCTGTAATCCCAGCACTTCGGGAGTCCGAGGCGGGTGGTTCACAAGGTCAAGAGATCGAGACCATCCTGGCCAACATGGCGAAACACCGTCTTTACTAAAAATACAAAAATTAGCAGAGCGTGGTGGCGTGCGCCTGTAGTCCCAGCTACTCAGGAGGCTGAAGCAGAATTGCTTGAACCTGAGAGGCAGAGGTTGCGGTGAGCCGAGATCATGACACTGCACTCCAGCCTGGCAACAGAGTGAGACTCCTTCTCAAAAAAAAAAAAAGAAAAAAGAAATATCATCCACACATATTACTGGGCCCTGCAGTGAACTATATTTTCATACACATCATCATATCAAAGCCCCACTTACTTTTTATTTTCAGAATTAGGCTTAGACAAAGAATGGAAGGCTTAAATGTGGTTACATTTAAGCAGGAGAATGTGAATATAAGCTTGACAATATGAAAGTGAAAATACAGCTGCCAGGAAGTGAAAAGAGGAAGAGGGAAGGAAAAGTGGTTGGGTAGGGTGCCTAATATTCTTGTCTTACATAAAAAAGATTCAAGATATTGACTATTGCTGATGGAAAAAAAAAGTAGAGGCATACTTATACTATTGACAAAAATAACCAATAGAAAATTAAAAATATTAAAAGCTATCAGTTACTGCGAACAGCAACAATGGGATGGTGAGCCAAATCATCTGTCACTGCAGGGAATCAAATATACTTGCATATGTGTGTATGTGATATGTTTGTATATGCATAGAACAATTGTTTCCAGGATATTCAAGAAATCAAAAACATTGATGATTACCTCTTAGAAAGGAAACTGGGTGGCTGGGAGGCAGCAGTCAACGGGAGACTTTTTCACAGTACACTCTTTTAAGCCTTCTCAATTTTAACTATGTAAACCTATTACCCAATTTTAAAAAATGGCCAATAAATAAATTTTAAAAAAGAAAAAACAGGCCAGGCGCGGTGGCTCATGCCTGTAATCCCAGTCCTTTGGGAGGCTGAAGCGGGCGAATCACCTGGGGTCAGGAGTTTGAGACCAGCCAGGCCAACATGGTGAAGACCCATCTCTACTAAAAATATAAAAATTAGCCAGACATGGTGGTGCACACCTTTAGTCCCAGCTACTTGGGAGACTGAGGCAGGAGAATCATTTACAAAAAAAAAAACAACAACAAAAAACAAAACAAAACAAAAAAACCAACCCAGAAAGTTAAAAAAAAAAGAAAAAGAGATAGCTATTGAAGAGTGGGACTAAAAATCTGGAGGGCGGGGTTGGAGGTTAATGTTTTTCTATTTATTTATTTTTAGAGCCAGGGTCTCACTCTGTTGTCCAGGCTGAAGTCCACTGGTGTGATTATGGCTCACTTTGGCCTCAAACTCCCCAGCTAAAGCGATCTTCTCACTTCAGCTTCCCAAGTCACCGAGATCACAGGCATGAGCTACGTGCCCAGCAACGGTTTTCATTATAAGCTTTTTAGCACTACTGGATTTAATTTTTTACAATATGATTATATTTGGCCAATTAATAAATTAAATAAAAAATAAAGCATATGTGGACATTGGGTGTTATCTGTACCCAGGGAGAAGAGATTCACCAGGCAGTAACCATAAACTGTCAAATTAAGGGAACACTTTTTTTTTTTTTTTTTTTTTTGAGATGGAGTTTCACTCTTGTTGCCCAGGCTGGAGTGCAATGGCACCATCTTGGCTCACTGCAACCTCCGCCTCCCAGGTTCAAGTGATTCTCCTGCCTCAACCTCCTGAGTTGCTGGGATTACAGGCATGCACCACCATGCCTGGCTAATTTCGTATTTTTAGTAGAGATGGTGTTTCTCCAGGTCGGTCAGGCTGGTCTCAAAACTCCTGACCTCAGGTGATCTGCCCACCTCTGTCTCCTAAAGTGCTGGGGTTACAGGCGTGAGCTACTGCGCCAGGTCTAAGGCAGCTCTTAAGTACCAACCAGTACAACCCTTTTGAAGGGTAATTTGTTAATATCTACAGAGAATGTAAAGGAATACATTTTTTGGTTTAGTAATTCTTGGGAATCTACTGAGCAGAAATATTGGATACATATGCAAAGACATACACAAAAAAGTGTTTCCTGACTCATTCTTATGAGTAAGGAAAAGCTAGGAACAACTTAAAAGTCTGCCAATAGAAGACAGATAAATTGTGAAAATTCTGTAACATGTAATACTATGAGGCCATTGAAAAAATGAGGCAGCTGGGTGTGGTGGCGCATGCCTATAGTCCCATCTACTTAGGAGGCTGAGGTGGGAGGATCACTTGAGCTAGGGAGTTCTAGGCTATAATGTGCTATGCCGGTGAGGTGCTTGCATCAAAGTTCAGCATCCACATGGTGACCTCCTGGGAGTGGGGGACCACATGGTTGCCTAAGGAGGGAATAAACTGGCCCAGGTTAGAACTAGAACAGGTCAAAACTCCTGTGTTGATCAGTAGTGGGAACAGACCTGTTAATAGCCACTGCACGCCAGCCTGGACAATACAGCAAGACCCTCATCTCTAAGATAAAATAAAATGATGAGACAGACCCGTACGTATTGCCATAGAAAAATATCCAAGTTATGTGGTTAAGTGAAAAGTACGGTAAATTGTACATCATGCATAGCATAATACTATTTTTGTTTTTTAGAAAATTGCATGTGATCAGGCATGGTAGTTCATGCCTGTGATCCCAACACTTTGGGAGGATGAGGTGGGAGATCGCTTGAGGTCAGGAGTTTTGAGACTAGCCTGGCCAACATGGTTAAACCCCATCTCTACTAAAAATACAAAAAGTAGCTAGGCGTGGTGGTGGACACCTGTAATCCCAATTACTTTGGAGGCTGAGGCAGAAGAACTGCTTGAACTCAGGAGGCAGAGGTTGTAGTGAGCCGAGATAGCACCACTGCACTCCAGCCTGGGTGACACAAGACTCTGTCTCAAAAACAAACAAACAAACAAACAAACCCTGCATGTGTATGTACTTGCACAGAAAATATTTCAGAAAATATGCTGCCAGTAATGGATTTCTGGGGGAATAAGGCTATATGGGATTTTCTTTTTCCAGGTTAAAAGGTTCTGTAAAGTTTAATGTTTTTATAAGACACACATGTCACTTTTTTTTTTTGAGACAGGACCTCACTCCAGTTGCCCAGGATAGAGTGCAGTGGCACGATTTTAGCCGATTGTACCCAAGCTCAGGTGATTCTCCCACCTCAGCTTCCTAAGTAGCTGGAACTACAGGCATGCATCACCACACCTGGCTAGTTTTTTTGTGTTTTTAGTGGACAGGGTTTTGCCATATTGCCCAGGCTGGTCTCAAACCCCTGGACTCAAGCAATCTGCCCGCCTCAGCCTCCCAAAGTGTTGGGATTACAGGTTTGTGCTACCTTGCCTGGCCATGTGTCCCTCTTATAATTAAAAAGTAGATATAATTGATGCAAGTGTGACAGGGCTCCCATGCCAGTGCGTTTTTGGTCATGCAGAGTAGAAAGGGAGAGGTGCCAGCTTTGAAGCTTCCCAGAGACCAAGATTGACCCAGCTTGAGGAATTCTGTGAACCAGAAAACCTGGGGGTTGGGAAATGACTGTAAATGCTCACGCAGCCAGAAGCAGCCAGATCCAACACCTCACCAAAGCTTTCCCTGATGCAAGGCCAGAAAGGAGCAGTCCTAGGCACGTCCCTGACACACACTCTCCATCCTCAACCATCTGGGGTCTGGTGAGATGGAAAAAGAGAGCAAAAACAGACACAAAGACATACACACATGCATATGCAGACACACTCACATGCTTCATGCATAGACACCCCTACAGAGACATGCAACCGTGCAGCTGTTTGCAGGCACACAGACTCGGGGAGATACCAAGAGATTACACAAACACTTAGATACACAAAGAGAGACACAGAGAAAGGAAAGAACCAGAGAGAGAGGAAAGGAAGAGCGAGGGAGACAAACCCCATGCATTCTCTCTTGGGAATGTTCCTTTGGGACATATATGTAGATATGAGTCCCATTCTGACCTCCCCCATAGTGAGGGCTGGGTAAATTATGCCACCTCAGTTTCTTCTGCAAAAAAAGGCTAACTATCCTGACCTCAGTGGATGTCATCAGACAATGTGAGAGGATGTTGCTGCCTGCCTCTGATCTTCCAGATCATAGGCCTGGTGAGCCAGCCATGGTCAGGGCCGAGGTGAGGGGCCAGGTGCTGGGCAATGAGGGGTGAAGTGAGGGGTACTCACGGATAGCAGAGGAACAGGAGGTTCAGGAAGGAGTAGGTCCTGAAGAGGTGGATGAGGGATCGGCACAGACTCCAGCCTGTTGCCGTGAGAACGGTGAAGCGGGTGAGGAACAGCAGGATGGAGCGAAAGAGGGAGACCTTCCCCCTCTGAGAAGCCTGGGTCAGGGCAAGATAGGACGGGATGGGGCCTTGGATGGAGGCCGAAGGGACTGTGCCCAAATCCCACCCAGCATGACCTGTGATCCCACCCAGGGAGAGGTGGCACAGCAGGCTGGGCAGAACCTGGCAAGGTAAATCCTGCTCTTTGATGCCCAGTAAACTCCAAGAGTTGATGGGATATAACTAATGTTCCTCGACCAAGTACAACGGGATTCCCAAGGAAATACCCCAAGGCTGAAGGGTTGGGCATGTCTCCTTAGCATCCCCAGGGGAAAAGGGGAATCCCAAAGTCCCTGGCCGGCCTCTAGGACCCAATCACCTCCTTCACGATGGACCCAATGAAGCGGCGGCCCAGAACGATGGTGGTCACCATTAGCAAGTTGAAGTCGATCAGGTGGAAGTTCTGTCAGGGGGCAGAGGCCTGGGGGTCATGTGGGCCCCTGGCCCATACATAGGCTTTTTTCATACCCACCTCCCCCTGCCCATTTGTTTCCACAGAGACTGTCCCCATTCTCTGACCTTCATCGGCCTCCACCTGAGCCAGGCCAGGAAATTACCTAGAGGAGTAGAACAGGACCCCGAGAAAGGAAGTGGGACAGTCCCTGGGGATAAGAGAGTGGTATGTGAGCCCTCTTGCTCTACTCACCCATGGCCCTGTCCCTATACTGTTTCTGCACTGAGTCTTTACTCCCCTTGAAACACTCATGCATGCCCGTGGTTCACCTACACTACTGGATTAAGACTCTGAGCTCCTGGCCAGGTGTGATGGCTCATGCCTGTAATCCCAGCACTTTGGGAGGCTGAGGCAGGTGGATCACTTGAGGTTAGGATTTGGAGACTACTCTGACCAACATAGTGAAATCCCGCCTCTACTAAAAATACAAAAATAGCTGGACTCGTGGTGGCATATACCTGCAATCCCAGCTACTCAGGAAGCTGAGGCAGGAGAATCGCTTGAACTCAGGAGGCAGAGGTTGCAGTGAGCCAAGATTGTGCCATTGCACTCCAGCCTGGGCAGTAACAGCGAAACTCCATCTCCAAAAAAAAAAAAAAGACTCTAAGCTCCTTCAGGCAAAATCTGTGTCAGATTCCTCTCCAATACAATTACAGTGCCCTATGTGGTACTAAACACACTAGGAGTATTCAGTGAATCATCGGTTTCCAGTTCCTTCAGCACCTTCCATGTTCAGCATGGAGACAAGTGCACAGTGGTGCTTGGTAGGCTATGCTAAATTGAAACCAAAAGAACACACACACACACACACACACACCCCGCCCCTTGTTGGGTACCTACCAGGGAGGTGTGGGAGGGCGGGTGGGAAGGTGGATACCACCACACTGTCTTGTAGATGTTGATGTAGTGGACAAAGAGCGCTATGAGCTGGCAGAAGAAGAGCTGCAACTCAAACAGAATGCTGGCCTGGACTGGCAGCTCAGGGATCTTGCAGTGCTGTAGAGGCACAACCGTTTGGGTGGCCAGAGGGGGGCTGGAGAGGCCTGTTCCAGAACTGCTCCTGGCAGTGGAGAGGGAAAAACATCAGGAGCTGACCTGAGAACCCTAACAAGAAGAGCTTCTGAGGCAAAGGATTGTGGGGTAAGATCAGAAAAGCAGGTCATGACAAAGACAGAGTCTTCCTAATGCTGCTTTTCAGACAAAGGGACCTGACAAAGCCTTTTCCTATCCCTAATCTTATTCAGGTCTTCCAAAACCCCCTAGGAGAGAAAGAATTATTAGGTCCATCTTACAGAAGAGGAAGAAGAGGCCCAGAGAGGGGAGGCAACTTGCCCAAACCATCAGCAAATCTGGAGCAGAACTGTCGTTAGAATCCGGGCTTTCGGATTTATTCTACCATGTCCCACTGCATCTGTCCATGTGATCACCCTCAACTGAGCTCCCTCTGGGTTTTTTCTGCTGCTTACTCCGCTCTAAGCCCCCACTGGCAACTAGGATATCACATCTTAGAATCTAGAGAGCCCTGTCCACACTGTTGCTGTGAGGCCACAGTGAGGGGCTAGTCAGAGAGGTGGTTTACCTGGTACGGGAACGAACACTGGTCACTGATGCGCTGGAAGTATGGCTTCCACTAGAGCCCCCTGAGGATCCTGGCTCACAGAGCGGATTTCGACAGTAAGATGTCCTGTTGGGACCTCTTCGTCCTCCTGTGGGGCTCAACATAAAATACAGCCTCAAGCCAGGGGGCATATATCAAGGATAACAACAATGATACTGGTTACCAGTCACCTAGTATCCCATTTTTTCATTTAATCCTCACTGAGACCTATGATCTGGCCCCTTCTTATATCTTCAACTTCATCCCCTATCATTCTTTACCTCACACCCACACTCTACCCCCAGCCCCATGCTCTAAACATCTTGATCTTTCTTTCCTCAGCAAGCAAGCTCATTGTTACCTCTTGCGCTTGCTATATCCTAACTGGAAAGTCCTTCCCTGACTGCCATTTCAGACTTTTTAAAAAATATATATATTTTATTGCACTTTAGGTTCTGGGGTCCATGTGCAGAACATGCAGGACTGTTGCATAAGTGCCATTTCTGACATTTTGAAGAAGCTCTCCCCATCACTCTCTCTGCAATTTCTATTCTTTTTTTTCCACCACAATTCACTCTCTGAAATTACCTTACTCATGTGTTAACATGCTTATTGCTTGTCTGTTCCACTACAATGGAAGGTCAATTAGGTCAGTTACCTACTCTTTTTCACTGCTATATCCCCTACCACAGTGCCCAGCAAGTATATGTTGATGAGTGAATTAACCCAGCAAGGTAGGTTTTTCACACATTAGAAAACTCAGCTTACACTGTGTTACAGTATCGTGGCTGGGTCTTGTGGTCTCAGCTCTGGTACACACTGGGGCCCATTCAGACATAAGTTTCTGGAGGCCTATAACTATGAGTAACTTTGGAACATCTTTTTCCTCCAGGGCCCCATAATTCAGCTCAATAGACATCCTGGTATCTCATGAGCAGGACACAGGGCCTGAATAAAGGGTCAGGATATGGCTGGGAGAATGCTGTGGTTGTGGACCAAAAACTTGGACCTACTAGGCTGAGCAGTCTAGACCAAGCTCCCATGTACCACTATGCACAAAGTTCTGCACAAAGTGGCACCTAAAAAAGTCACAGCCTGGCTGGGCGTGGTGGCTTACGCCTGTTCTCAGCACTTTGGGAAGCCGAGGTGGGAGGATCGCTTCAGGCCAGGAGTTGGAGACCAGCCTGGGCAACATGGCAGAACCCCGTCTCTATTAAAAATATATACATACACACATATATATTTTTAAAGTTTTATATATGTATTTTAAAAGTTACAACCTGTTCAAACCTCTTCACAGTAACACAGCAGCCTCCATTCACATACATCCCTGCCCATAGCATCTCAGTTAGGAAGCGTTTCCCACACTTTGGAGCCAATTTTGGGCCTGGATGTATGCCCAAAATTAAAAACCTCCACGAGTCTCTAAAAAGTAGCTGGCGGGGAGCTCTGCCCTCCACAAACCCCCAAACCAGAAGCTCTGTTCATACGCTACTATACTTGGCTTAGAAAATCCCACACAAACACCTTTAGTCCAGAAGATGTGCCCACACCCACTCTCCTGTCTTTAGAAGCTCTGCACCCACATAAAGCCCCTCAGCCCAGAAGCTCCGCCTACACACAACTGTCAGCCGAGAAACCCCGCCCCAGAACAAGCCAATAAAAGTCCTCTCAGCCCAGAAGCCCCACTCTAGAATAGGCTCCCTGAGTCGGAAGTCTTCTCGCCCCACCACCCCCAGAGTAAGCCCCTCCAGCCCAGAAGCTCCGCCTGCACTAGAGTCCCAAGCCCAGAAGCTCCGCCCTTAGCGCTGAAGCCACGCCCACTGGTAAGTCCCGCCTCCCCAACCCCGACCAGCGAGTTCTCACCAAAGCCCAAGCCCTCACAGGCCTTCGTCTTAAAAGCCCCGCCCACCACCCCAATGTCCCGCCCCCACAAGAGGCCCAACCCCGCAAAACGACAGGAGGGGGCGGGATCCCGTTTGCGCCCGCATCCCCTCCCCCTCCCGTCGCCGGGCTTCTGTCCGCGTGGGGCAGCAATTAGCAGCCTGGCCATCCTAACCCGCGCACCCGCTCGTTGCCGGGCCGAGCCTGAGCCTCTCTGCTCACCCATCTCCTCCCCCCGGCGCTCGCCGCTTCGCCGCCGCAGCTCCTACGGGCAATATGTCGGAGGCGACGGCGGCCGAGAGAGGACTAACCGCCGCAGCCCAGTCCCGGGTATCAGCCGCGCGCTCCCGCCGCGCCGCTACATTTGCATACAAGGCGGGCTGGAAGCTGGCGCGCGCCTCTTAAAGGGCCCTCCCGGACAAAGGCGGTGCTGGGATGCTCTTTGTCTCGAGGTCCCCTACGCCCTTCCTGCAGCTGCTGCTGAAGAGACTCAAGAGGGAGGGGAACGGAACCCACCTCCTGCTCTTCCCGTGCGTGTCTTCTCCCAGCATCTCAAGGTCCGGGGCGGCGGCGGGTGGGGGAGGGTTCGGAGCCGCCTCTCTGATTCCCTGGAGATGGACCAGATCCCTGAGCGGCCGGCGGGCACCTCCAGCCCAGCCCCACGTCGCACTTCATCCTTCTCTTAGGCCTCCCTGCGCTTTGGTCCACCCCAGTCAAAACCCAGGAGTCATTTCCCCCTCTCCCTCGGCCCTCACATCCGATAATTGCCTTAGTCTTTGTGAGCCTACGTCCTAAATATTTCTCACATTTGACGCTACTCTCCATTCTCATTGTCAACACCGTGGTTCAAATCCTGACTCTGCCGTTTCCCAGCCTTGAAATCTTGTTTTTTACGGTTTACAATGAGGCTCTTGATACTCACAGTGTAGGTTTCGGTCCGGGTTAAATGAGATAGTGCAGGCAGAACCGAGTCTTTTTTTTTTTTTTTTTTTTAGACAGTCTTGCTCTGTCGTCCATGCTGGAGTGCAGTGGAGTGCTCGGCTCACTGCAACCTCTGCCTCCCTGGTTCAGGGAATTCTCCTGCCTCAGCCTCCCAAGTAGCTGAGACTACAGGCGCACGCCACCACACCCGGCTAATTTTTGTATTTTTAGTACAGACGGGGTTTCACCGTGTTAGCCAGGATGGTCTCGATCTCCTGACCTTGTGATCCGCCCGCCTCAGCCTCCCAAAGTGCTGGGATTACAAGGCGTGAGCCACCGCGCCCGGCCCCGAGTCTGTTTTAGTCGGTGTTAGTCGTCATGATGTTTCGAGAAGCATTCGCTAAATGAGCTACATTTATTGTCATTAGGATTTCTTTCCTCACAAGACCTATAAGCAGTTTTAGTCAACTTGTAGCTCCATTGCTTAACACAGTGCTTGGCATCTATTAGTATTCAATTAATTGAATGAATTAGTAGATATTTCATTAATAGCCAGTACAGAGCTTAAGTGGGAGGAGGTAGGAACAAAATTGGTAAATTCTGTAGTATGTTAGAAAGGAATGATTGGTGTGGAGGAAAAACAGGAAAGGGGGATGGGGTTTTAAATAGGGCAGGCAGAGTAGGCTTCAGAGTTGACTTGAGTAAACACATGAAGGAAATGAGTGAGTCAGTTGTGAGATTTCTGGAGAAAGGGGGCATTCCAGGCAGAGGGAATAGTGCAAGGGCCCTCAGACAAGAGGGTGTATTTGTTTATTTATTTTATTTTATTTTTTTGAGGTGGAGGCTCACTCTGTTGCCCAGGCTTGAGTACGGTGGAGCAATCTTGGCTTACTGCAGCCTCCACTTCCTGGGTTCAAACAATTCTGCCTCAGTCTCCCACATAGGTGAGATTACAGGCATGTGCCACCATGGCCAGCTAATTTTTGTTTGTTTGTTTTTTGTTTTGAGACTGAAGTCTCCTCTCTGTTGCCCAGGCTGGAGTGCAGTGGTGCAATCTTGGCTAACTGCAACCTCCACCTCCTGGGTTCAAGGATTTCTTCTGCCTCAGCCTCCCAAGTAGTTGGGAATACAGGTGCCTGCCACCATGCCCGGCCAAGAGGCAGGTATTTGTACTTTTTATGAGGCGGGATTTCACCATGTTGGCCTGGCTGGTCTCGAACTCCTGACTTCAAATGATCCACCCACTTCAGCCTCCCAAAATGCTGGCGGTGCGCCACCGTGCCTGGCCTAATTTTTGTATTTTTTAGTAGAGACTGGGTTTCATCTTGTTGGCCAGGCTGATCTTGAACTCCTGACCTCAAGTGACCCACCCACCTTGGCCTCCCAAAGTGCTGGGATTACAGGCATGAGCCACTGTGCCCAGCCAAGAGGGTGGGTTTAAGAAATAACAAGGAGCCCAGTGTGGCATAGGTATAGATATAAGAGTAGGACATGAGAAGCGATAGATCATTTAGGGCTGTGTGGCTTTTACTTTGAATGAGATGCAGAGCTACTGGGTGGTGAGAATAAACTGCCAGGGGCACGAGGGTGGAAGCAGGGAGACCGGGCAGAAGGCTGTGGCAATGATCTTAGCAAGAGATGTTGATGGTTTGCACAAGGTTGGGGGAGATGGTGAGACATGGTTGAATTCTGGATTTGAAGGTAAAGTCTGCAGGATCTGTTGGGATGACTGTGGTGGCTCATGCTGTAATGTCAGCACTTTGGGAGGCTGAGGTGAGGAGATTGCTTGAGCCCAGGAGTTCAAGACCAGCCTGGGCAACAAAGTGAGACCCTGTCTCTACAAAAAAAAAATTTTAAATGAGCCAGGTGTGGTGGCGTGTGCCTCTAGTCCCAGCTACTTGGGAGGCTGAGGTGTGAGGATCACTTCAGTCCTGGGAAGTTGAGGCTTCCGTGAGCCATGATAGTGCCCCTGAACTTCAGCCTGGGCAATGTAGCAAGACCCCATCTCAAAAAGAAAAAACAGGACCTGTTGACAAAATGGATAGGAGTGTGTAAGAGAAAAGGATGACTCCAAGGTTTTTAGCCTGCACAAATGGAAATATGGAGTCCGATTCAATAGATGTATATTTTTAAATTATGACAGATTTTACACCAAGTCAATCTTTCCCTTCAAGGGGAAAAGTGGCCCAGGGGTGGAAAATGACTATCCCTGGCTCAACAAGTAAAGAAGAAACCAGGACTGGGATTTCTTTTTATCATCCATAGAAATTCTGATAGAGGCTGAGTAAAGTGGCCCATGCCTGTAATCTCAACACTGTGGGAGACTGAGGTGGGAGGTTCACTTGAGCCCAGGAATTTGAGACCAGCCTGGGCAACATAGGGAGCCCCTGTCTCTACAAAAAATTATCCAGGCATGGTGGGTGCCTGCCTGTAGTCCTAGTTATTAGGGAGGCTAAGGGGAAATAAATCACTTGAGCCCAGGAGTTTGAGATGACAGTGAGACAATTGCACCACTGCATTCATCTTGGGTGACAGAATATGACCCTGTTTCAAAAAA